TCCTGGCACATGGGGCATACGTACGGTCGCTCTCCCGTGTGCGTGCGGACGTGGCGCTTGAGAGACCTGGCGTCGGCCCAGGCGACGCCACAAGTCAGACACTCAAATGGCTTCACTCCTAGAAGAGAGGGAGGAAGGGAGAAACACACATAATGAAAATGAGCTTCCACAAAGACGGGATTGTCTCTTCCTGTCCTGTTAGGAGTCTCACCCTGGTGGTTGTTGACGTGGCGTCTGTACTCCCGCAGCTGAGTGAACTTTCTCCCACACTGCTCACACTCCCTCTCCAGGTTCTGCTTTACTCGGCCCTTCTTCCCGTGCGTGGCTTTCTTCACGTGCCTCCTGAACAGAGCCTTCTCAAAGAACTCCTTCCCACACACATTACACCTGAGGAGACACATGAAACGTGATCGATATGCAGACTCCCAGTAGCCAGACACCGTTCTGGGTGGCGTGTTTACAAAAGCACTCACTTAAAGGGCTCCGCCACGCTGTGGGACTTGACGTGGGAGTACCAGTCCTTCTTCCAGCTGTAGCATTTCCCACACACCTGGCACTGGAACGGCTTCAGGCCCATGTGCTTGTTCATGTGCTGCTGGAGATCTTTGGCTTCATAGAACCTCTTATCGCAGCTGCAGGTAACATGAGAAAAAACATTTAACCATCAACCCACTGAATGCCTCGAGTCATGTGACATCAGTGAGAGAGTGGAACAGTTACTCACTGAGCGCAGGCAAATGGACGGACGTCAGGTTTGGGTTGGTGCTTTTTCAGGTGTTTGCTCAAAGCTGAGGCTCGATGGAACGTTGCTCCACAAGTGTTGCATAGATACTTTGATTCACCTGTTTAAAAGGTTATATGAGATATAAACATTAACATAGAAGCTAACAACTATTTACTGTGTAAAGAAATAGTGGAGTCATGGTGACCCGAGCAGAGAATGATGTCATTGTTATTGCAGCCTCTCTGTGGTTTGTTTACAAATGTGGTCTGTCAGTGCATGCGAGTCCCTCAGTGTACAACTGAACACAGAATCTGAAACTTCTGTTCTTCTCACCTACCTCTGTGAATGAAGGATTTATTACGACCAACAGCGGAACAGTGGAAAGACTAAGTGAGTTTTATCTTGTTTCTGTCCACTTGGTATAAAGTTATGATGTTACGATGATATATGAGTATGGCGAGCGATATAACGGCTGGTTCTGGTTCAACAGAAGGTCTATCACTGTAGTCCGCAATGACACTTAGAATAACAACCGGAGTCTATCAGTGACTAAACAAGAAATTTAAGTGGACGTACTTTGACAGGCAGATTTGTTCCTGAGGATTAGTTCACGTTGCCATCACTACTGCAGCGCTTTTCACAAATATTTTCACATCTAACTTAGTAAGTGAACTGTTTATTTTGACCAAACCATCATGGGAAAGACCATGTGCTGACTAAAAGACAGTTCTGTTGAGTTTTATTTGTTTAAGTGTGTTTTATGATTATCTGCTAGGTAAAAAAGTTTTGTCTATGGAGTCTGGTCAGCCTTGGCGCCCCTTGTTTTGGTCCGAGATGCTGGTGCTTTAGTGCGACATCTAGTGTCTAGTGTCTGAATTTAGTATATATATAACCTTTAAGGGATATCATGGTGAAAAAGGGTCAGCTTGCCCATCCAAAAAAACATTCCCTCACTTCTGGTTAGCGCTGTCCAGCTGCGCATCACTTTGGATTTATCCACCTGGGTTTTAAGATATCTGTCTCTCTCACATTTCTTGGAGTGGCGGAGACAGAAACCTCAAAACCTGGACAAATGAAACCAAAACCACGAGACATTCCATAAAAGCACATTTGGTTTGTGTGATCGGACCCTTTAAGGACACTGAGCTGGAGGCAGACTGACCTGTGTGGACGCTGGTGTGCTCCTCCATGCTCCGCTTGCTCACAAAAGACTTCTTACAGAATTCACACTGGAACTGTTTGGTGACGTCGTGCAGCGCTCTGTGCATCTTCAGGCTGTGTTTGTGGGCGAACGTCTTGCCGCAGACCTTGCAGGAGTGAGGCCGCACGCCCGTGTGGTTCAGCATGTGGATCCGCAGTGAGTAGAGCTTCGGTAGGGTCTTCCCGCAGATGTCACACACAAATTCCCGTTTGGTGTGTGGCGATAACGTCTTGTCCTCCAGATCGCTGTCCACCTTGCTCTCTGAGCTCTGTTCTGCTGAGGGTTTGGTGACGACTGCTCGCTGGCTGCTCTGCTGTTTGTGTCGGGCGAGGTGGGCGCGAAGTGAGGCGGCGTACTGGAACTCTTTGCTACACAGCTACAGGGACACAGAAACAGCACGGTCAGCACGTTTTCACAACACAGCATTAGCCATTAAATGTGACATGCTAATCAACGCCAACACTCACGCTGCACTTGTATCCACGCGCTTTCTCGTGTTTTAGCGTGTGCATAATGAGAGAGTAGCGTCTCGGGAAGGACATGCCGCACTCGGAGCATGTGTGCTCTCCATCCACCGCGCTCTCCGTCGGCGTTTGATCCTGCTGGCTTGCAGTCTCTGGCTTTGCCACGTTCATCCCAGCCTCGTCTGTGCTGGGCTCTTCTATCGACACGCTCTCCACTGCAATGCCCTCCGGATCTGCCCCCGACCCCGACTCCGTCACAGACTGTACATCACCCTGAGCCTCCACTGGCTGCTTTGGTGGTCTTCCTCTTTTACCTGGCCTCGGACCCACCTGAAAACACAACCATGTTCAATGTCTGTCGCTCTAAACAAAACACGTCATAGAAAATAAAATCATTTACATACGTTGCTTGATTGAAATGTAACTGTACCTTAGGGGTGGTGGCCCGTGGCGAGGTCGAACCTTTCTTCCCCTCCTCTTCCTCCTCCAGCCCCATATGTAAACGTGCATAACCGCCCTCAGCTATAGAGCGCTGCCTGAGTCGTCTTTTGTTGGGGTCATCTGACGCCGTCTCCTGCTTGTCTCCGTGGCTTTCATCAGCAGAGGGGTCCTCCTCCTCCAACGGCACAAACTCCTCTACCTCCACTTCCTTCTTCACCTTGGCTGGACGCCCTCGTTTACGTTTCAGGGGTGTAGGTGCTGATTCTGCTTTCTCCTGAGGTGGCGGTGCAGCTTCGGGGGCGGCTTCAGACGCCAGTTTGACAACCTCCGAGAGGCTCCCTTTGTCTGGGTCCACATTTATAACAAAGCTTCCTGCTTCAGCGGGCTGTGGCTGCTCCATCGCCAGGCAGGCCGACACTACGGCGAGGGACTCGCTGGCTCCGGCCTGTCCACTGTGGGTGACCACAGTCATCGTCTCCTCCTCCATCCCCTCTGCAGTGTGTGAGATAAGAGTGACAGTCTCTCCTGGCTCGGCCTGTCCGCTGTGAGTGATCAGAGTCACAGTTTCACTCGGTGCAGCCTCCCCATGATGCTCTTTGTCTCCCTCTACAGCTTCAGTGACAACTGTCATCGGCTGCTGGATGTAGGCCTCTTCAGGAGGAGCAATAAAAGCTAACGGCTCGCCTGTAACAGCAACCCCGCTGTGGGTGACCACCGCCCTGCCATCACTCTGTATGGTGACCACGTAGGACCCGGAGTCGTCTTTCAAGCCTTCCTGAGGAGCCGGTTGGCTCGACAACACAGTGTGCACGTCTCCTTTTTGGTACACCGTCAGCTTCTGCTCCTCCACCTGCTTGTGCACCGACTCGCATATCTGGAGCACCTCGGTCATCAGCAGATGTCGGGCTAGGTTGGCGATATCTGCCATTATGCAGAAATTAAACGTGAGCAGGGACGTGTACGCAAAATCCAGCAGCGGGAGGAAGCTGGCTTTGGTGAAACCTGGAGAGAGAGAAGGTTGAGGGTAAAAACTGAGCAACTACGCCAAACACTCAGATACAGAAAACAGCACAAAGTCTCACCAGAGAGGTCCACCACAGCTTCATGTGTGGAGGCAGCCCCCTTCTCAAAAAAGAGCTCGTGGAAGTATTCGCTGCACGCTGCCAGCACAGCTTTGTGAGCACGGTACTCCTCTCCTTCGATCAGCAGGGTGATGTCGCAGAACTGATTGTTTAGGCGCTGCTGGTTGAGTTTGTCCAACATCGTCTGACTGTGTTTAGGCAGGAACTGATTGACCTCACCCTTGCTGTCCACCTGGAAAGAGCGAACGCACAATACACAACAACAACAACAACAACAGAGACTCAGTTGTAGAGTAAACAATATCACATCTCTGTGACTGAAACAGCAAAGTGTGATACGTACAAAGACCAGTTCATGCTTGGCCATCGTCTTGGCCAACTTGGACCTCAGCTGACAAGACGAGTCGGTGAGGAATAAACGATCATCCCCCCCTTCTTCCTCCTCTTCCTCCTCCTCCTCATCGTTCAGGTTGGCAGCCGCTCTGCGTCTGCCCGGCCGGGAGAACAGCCGAGGTCCCGAGCCGTCATCAGCACTCCGCCTGCTCTGACACTGAGCACACTCTCTGATGTGGTCTTTCACATTCTTCAGGATACCTGCCAAAACACAGGACACCATCACTTTAAACGACTCCTATTAAGACAATTATTTTCAATATCCAGCTGTTTCTGCTAAAATAATCGCCTCAAGTACAGTTGAGTTTTTTGTATACGTTTTTTCTGAGTGGTGCATTCACGTGCAATCAGATTTGTGCAAATTCACTGACATTTAGCAACATAAAATCATAATTATCTTTTAATTTTTGGGAGTGTGTATCAAACAAACATGTGATCTTAATTCTGGAAAACAAGATTTTTCCACCAGTGCCCCTCTGTAGCACTACAGTACTTCATTATAATGCTATTTTATCACACATTTGACCTTTTATCGAAGCATTACAGCACTTGCGATTTGCACATTGCACTTGGTCATGTTGCGAATTCGATGATATTTAGATTAATTGTGCAGCCCTACTGATGGCCCCTGACTATGTGACGTTATGGATATTTCAGATTACATTCAATGCATATCAGTAACACTTGGGAACAACTGTTACACTGTACAATGAACCCAAACAGTGAACACAGTAACTGCAGGAAGTCTGTGTACAAACGAGCGATATGATGAATTTTAAGCAGATTGTTTCCTGTAAATATTACAGTTGTTTTAACGACACAGAAATGAAGTTCCCCCCGGGTTGGGAACCACTGTTCAAACTGTGGGCACTAATAAAGACCTCATATTAACGAGGCTGCAGCCCTTTAATGAACCAGCAGATGGAGACAGAGAGCAACCGGCTGTGACGGGTGGCGTATTTATATTTGTTACAGGCTCGTGTTTACGCGGGTTCCCCGGCTGGTTGAATCACCGCACAGTGCCAATGAACAGCCAGCTGCTGGGACCGGGCTCCGGTAACCTACCTCTCCACCAGTACTTCTGAGAGATGGACTCCCAGGTGAGTTGCTGGTTGAGGTGCTCCCCTCCTTCGGCAATAATGTGCGCCTCGTTGATAAGTTCCTTCCTCCGGTCGTCCTGCAGCACCACCTCCAGCTCCGTGAAGTCATTCTGGCCCTTCAGTCGACGCTGATAAAACAGAGTCCCGTTCCGTACAACGTAGCAGGTCGCCGCTTTACGGATTTTTCTCTTGGTATTGCCAGGCGTCCCCGGCGCATATGGCTCCCGTTCATCAGTCAGATAGCGTATGATGGCCAAGTAGCTTTCTTCACACGACATGTCTCAGCTGACCCGCGCTTTCCACTCTGGATTATGGCTTTATCTCGAAGAGGAGGGCCCTCTTCGGCTTGTAAAATTGTGATATAAATTTTATACAGAGCTCAGATTGTAGATAACATGAAATAGAGACGCCACAACAACATTTCAAATGTGTGTTTCCTAAGGTGGAACTGCAGTTCGTAACCGTCAGGGTAGACTTGCCCGAACAGACAAAATGGCTGCTGCACAACCGGAACTTGCGTAAGCAAAAGCGGAAGCGCGTCGTGAGCGTTATCCACCACAAGAGGGCGCAATGTGCAAACTTACTAATCCAAACATGATCACTTCACTTTGATTAGTTTTCAGTTTCTTATTTTCATGTATTTATTAATTTATGATTCCATTTATGAATTTAAGGATCATTATTATTCTCAATTGTTTCTTTATTGTAATGAAGGAAATTACATTTATGGTGCCTGTGTTAAAAGTGTGTATTAAAGTGTGTATATTAGGGCTGCACAATTAATTGAAATGTTATCGATATAAAATGGCCAAGAGCAATATCTTTGAGAAACACATTTGTGTGACGAACAGCATTATAATGAAGTACTGTAGTTCTGAAGAGCTGCCCTGGCCTACAAATCTTGTTCTCTAGCTTTAAGAAAACAGATTTGTTTAATACAAACCCCCAAAAATGTCACATAATCATGATTTTAATATTTTTATTGAATGAAAATTTAATTTGTGATGCAAAAATGATCCTTCCCACACTAATCGTGGATCATACTACAACAGCAATATCTGTCCAAATGATCACAATATGATGTTTTTATTATATCATATCGATGTGTATGTATGTATATGAAATATAGTTAATAAATGTAGTTTATCATACTGTACCACTGAAGTAGTCCTTTATTTCACCCTTTGGGACTGTTGGCCCATGTATGAGTTAAATGAAGCAAATGTTGCAGTATCTAAAGTTTAATTTATTGGGAGACAGCAGACTACGTTTTACTGCACTGGTGGAGTAAAAGTGAGCAGCTACTCTTCCAGTAACAATAAATCAGTATAGCTTTGTTACTTTTCACCTTCATTTCAGTCCCAACCTACAGTGATTACTGTTAGTGTCTATTCTTGAGCTGTGACAGTGTATGAGCATCCTATCAATAGTGTACAAATATAGGAAATTAGGGGCAGTTTTTAATATAAATGTGCGTCACCCAGGACATCTCTATAAATGCTTTGGAAAAACAAAATAAAACAGATGCACCAAGCTTAGATAAACACCAGAAATATTCAGTGTGGTGGAAGGCAGAGTCATTTTGGTGTGAGAGTGAAAAGGCCGTCATGTAGTGAGTCCTTTGAGACAAAGGCAGGCTCACGTCTGTTAAAAGTTTTAGGCCAGCAGTTTACATTTCTGACCTTCTCAGCCCTCACTTCTCCACCTGGACCCTGAAGTCCTTTACTCACACTCTCCTTTTCACTGTCCAAGTTCAAATCCAAGGATGATGGAACATTTTCCATTGTTGTCCCCAGCTGTGGAACAGTTTACCTCTCTCTGTCTGGTTTTCCCTAACTGTCAGCGTTCTGTCTAAAAATCAATTATTTACATTAACTTTCCAGTCCACACAAACATTTGTTAAACTGTGCCTTATTATATAAAGCTGGCTTTATTTGTACTCCACTATTCTCTTCATCCTTTTCAAACTTGTGAGTGAAGTGAGAGGAGTTTTTGATTCATTTCCTGTATGAAAGTGTTTTTTTGTGGTATTTGTCAGTATGAAAGCAGGTTACTCCATACAGGCAATGTTAAAGATCACACATTCTCTTATGTCCTCAGAAACACATAAAACAGCTTGTAAACTTTAACATTTGGCATTGAGGAGATCAGACCTGGTTTTACATAATCAGCTTGACAGAAGTGTCAATAAGCTGACCCTCTCAGTGGTGGAGATAAGTCGAATATCTGTGTCTACTGTACACAACTGATTCCACATTAGCTTCAGTTATGGGAGCTCACTTATCGCCTCGTATCTTTAGATGAGCCAGCTATCTGTCATTTGTAAGAAACAAGATAAGAGTTGTTATGGTTTCAAAAACAAATCACAGTTTACAGTCTCCATACATGGTGGGGCATACGGGGTCTGCTGCAGTGCCGACGATGCTTTTTGTTTATTGATGTCTGAGAGGAAATTCTCTTTTTGGTTTCAGCTTCAGAGAACAGAGACATAAAGAGGATGATACCACTGTGGGTAGTGGGGACTTTCCAGTACACAGGCATGAAACCAGCCTCTTTAAAAGACGGTCCATCCACCAACATGTCTGTAGGGCGAGTACCAACGTAAGTGCCTGTCTTCACTGATATTAAATCTACCCATTACTGACGTATTGTGAGTGAGGCCCCTATAAGGCTCCTTTTGGAACCACACAGGGTACTAGGAGCGCAACAAATGATTGTTTTCACTAATCCGTCAAACATATTCTAAAACGAGTGATTAATCATTTACTCTAGAACAAGTGTAAGAGTCTGCAACCATGCCAGCGGCTCTGTGAGCTAAATGCTAACACCAACATGCCAACATTCTCACAACGACATGCAGATATTTAGCGTGTTCACTATCTTGGTTTAGCATGTTATCACTTACTTACTAATAACCACTAAATACAAAGAACAGCTGAGGCTGATGGGAATAGTTTTGCAGGTATTAGGTCACAAACCAAAGCACTGGAAACAATTTAAATGATGTTAAATGGTCATGTACCAAAGTCAGCACGATGCATTTTTGGGGAATTCAGTCTAGAACAAAGCGGTGTACCGACCTACATTGCCATCCCTGCAGCCACACTGCTAGCATGGGTAGCACGGCTAAAACCAATTGCTCATCACAAGGTCTCAGAGCCCAAGGTGACCTCTCCAGTATGCTTGTATTATCAATCCTCTGGACTACAATCCCAAAGATATTCAGGCTAAAATGATAAAGAACAGGAAAAACAGTGTTAAAACTGTAGAAGCTGGACCAGTGAGACCCTCTCTGGGTACCATACATTTATTTAAGCTTTGAGAAAACAGGCCTTTCAGGCAGCTCAGAAACCTTCATTGTCAGTTTCAAGCAGCGTTTTTATCCCCCACAATAAAATCAAGGTAGTGAGTGTGAATCATCCCGTGTCCTTCCATCTCTTAATCACATACAGATGCCAGAGATAAACTGAAAGAAACACTGCATTTCAATCCTCTGTTCTAGCATCCTTAGTATTGCTCCAACTGGCCTTAGTGTGGCACTACAACCCTTGTAAAAGTGTCTGTACGTCACACATGATCCTTAAATCGCTATGTTCTGCTGCTCCGTTATTTCTGAATTACTCTGAGCCGGAGGGGAGGGGCGACACATCATTTGTTGCTCATCCATGTGTCACATACCAAACCTGACATCAAACCCTGGTCAGTAATGTGTTTTCACCACTGCATTCCAGCATTCAGAGCTTACACTGACTGGACCAAGGGAGTTAAAGTTACAGCTCAAAATGAAGCGATGCATGTGTAACTGCTGCCCTGGCAGGGACTTTTGGGGATCAATAATTTTACTGGTACCGTGTAATGAAACAAAATATTGTCATAGCTCTGGAAAATGTGGAAATATCCACTGTAGTACAATCATACAGATACACTGTCTACTGTCTCTGTGTGTCTGACACATTTCAACTCAGCCAGTGTCTGTTGCTGCTCTATTTAGCTGCTTCAGAACCAGCCTCGCTGGAACACAAATCCCTGACTCACGGCACACAAAAGGAGTGAACCTGTAACTCACTTTTCACTCTCAGCTGCCTCTTCATTGCACATAAAAAGACAAAAAAAACACATGTGTTGGACTGTTAGATTATTTCAGGTCTTTTGTCATTTCCATTCCCATACAGAGTTGGTTTGATGTATTTGGTTCCCACTCCTATGAGGCAGAGATTTAATATGTTTATTCTCAGTTGCTGTTGGCAGGAAGCTCAACATGTGTCGCTGAGTGTTTATATGAACGCTGGGAAAGAGTTTATTTGCATCCTGTCAGTGTGTTTCTGTGTCAGAGGACATTTGTTTGCTCCACCCAGCCATCAGTTGAGGCTTAATACCACATCACAGGTTACTGAATGTTAAATATCATCTGTGAGTCGCATTCAAACTTCGTTCCAACAAAGACACCTCTGTTTAGATTCTCTGTTTAATCGAGTGTCACCGCTCAGCGTGATAGCTGATCTGCACATCTTGTCACTTCCTCCTTGTGAGGTATTTGCTCCACTGTTCATTTCCTCCTCTCAAGAGGTCCTGTTAGGTTTCATGCAGGTTTTCTGCTACAGAGACAAAGGCATTCGTGACTCAAAACAGGAAGGCTGGTGTATGTTTCATGACAGGTAAAAAACAACACACGCTCAGCACTGAAAGCTGCATATATAAGAGGAGGACAATCCAAGGCACTCAGAGTTCAGCTATGATTAAAGCTGAAAGCTTAAAGGAATAATTTGACATTTTTGGAATTGAAAAATGGGGAATCAGCTTCACTTGTAGGCTACACAGATTTAGGCAAAATTTTTCTCTGTATGCACCTCTATTTTGTGTATGTATTAAGTATGCACGCCCATTCTCCTTACTGATCTTTATCTGTGCCGTTGGTGTTATACAGTCTTACTGAGGTTCTGTGATCCAGCTGGAACTTTCAGTCAGTGTTTTGTCTGAAAGCTACCTCTAAGGCTAAGATACATTTTTCTTAAATGGAAATGTTTGATTTCCCATCCAGCCCTGGAAGGTTGTTTATTTTTTTAAATTCTGGGTGCATTTGTATTCATAGTTGCCACATAATCTATATGCATTTATGGGCTGCCATGTCTCTCAATTTATAGTGAATGACTGAGTGAATGAATTCTCCCTAAAAAGCCACTACTGACACACTACTACTGCTTGTTTCACGATTTGATCAAAGCTGCACCCGTCCAGAGTAGATATGTTGTAACAACATCTGTCATGTATAGTCCACCTCACGTGACGCACAGACACACGTCAGCCAAAATGGTTCACACTAATGCTCTCCCTATTCTTTAACCTTGAAATGAGTAAACATAGCCTCTGGCATCGTAGTGCAGAGAAATAGTACTGATCAGTGCCCCTATTACCCGCATGGTTGGCCATTTGGCGTTTGGTTGTATATTTGCTGTTGAATCTTTTTCCACTCTCAGTTGAAGCAGGCCAGTATTGACTGTACACACACAATTTTCCAAGAATAAAGACATTCAATTATTTCCAGTTCATCCTAAAGCCAGAGTTTTAGCCATGATATATTAAATGATCAAGATCTCAAGGCATTGTGAATTTGAGCTTATCTTAACTGTCCTGGAATAAACACAAACTCTGTTTGTAGTCATTTTATATGGGCCACTACACGCACTGCAGTTGAAGCAAGAAGTTGAAAAAATGAAAATATTGATTTGACCTATATCAAAGCATTCCTGTCTGCCTAAAATCTTAGAATAACTGCTAAACTCGTGACTACCTTCCTTTCTAGCCACAGCCGTGGCTGCAAGTGCTGTTATGGATGACATTGTTAAAGCACTTGATCTTTACAATTTTATACTGTTCACAACATTTTGTTAAATAAGTTGCTTTCCACTTGGTTTTGGTGAATCAAAATCACATGTTTCTGGTAGAGTTAAGACTGCAGCTGCTTCTTCAGATGTTTTTTTTTTTTTTTTTGGGGCTTTTATCGCCTTTATTTGATAGGACAGTTGAAGACAGACAGGAAAGGGGGGAGAGAGAGAGAGGGGATGATACACAGCAAAGGGCCACAGGTCGGATTCGAACCCTGGGCCTCTGCAGCAAGGACTCAGCCTCGGTACATGGGTCGCCAGCTCTGCCCACTGAGCTAACCGGGCGCCCTTCAGATGATTTTAAATTCATCAAGAATCAATATGAGGTCCCCTGATTTTTACTCTGTAATAAATATTTGTTTTCCAGAACTGCAGTGTACATTGTTATGCCGACGATACAATTTCATGCATTTCAGCTCTACTGAAAACCAACCTGGCCTTCTCCATGTTACAACCTTCTCTCTACCAACTCCAGAACTTTTTTATAAATGTAAAGCTTTACACTCCAAACAATTCACAAGAATACAATGCTTTGATGATCCTCAAGAAGACTGTCCTCACTCCAAAACAAAAAATCCTAATTAGATTGTCATCCGTGTCAACAGAACTTGTTTCTTGTTTTAAATCAGAAAAAATATACAATCCACTATTCTGTGTACACTGGATTATGGAAATATCCTGTATGCTCTCTGCTGTTGAACTGCATTTACCATGGTGGTAAATGGCATCACATTCAGTGACTGCTCGAGCACATAACCCCTTGTTGTACAATGTTTATACACTTTGTTTCTGCTGACCTTATGGGCAGAGCCAGGGTAGCTGTTTCCTCCTGTTTCCAGTCTTTATGCTAAGCTAAACTAACTGAATTTAAATCTAAAATTGACGATGTACATGTGACCAGTATCAATCCTCTCATATACAGTAATCCACCAGAAAAGCAAATATACATATTTGCCAAAATGGCGAACGTCTGCTTCAAAGGTCCAGTGTGTAAAATTTAGGAGAATCTATTGGTATGTAGAGGTATAGGTATGTTTTCATTAGTTATTAAGCTTTTGTTACCTTGGAATGAAATGTCACCTTCCATGGTGTCTGCCATGTTTAACCACCTTGTTTGTACAGTAGCCCAGAAGAGACAAACCCAATACTGGCTGTAGATGTTGTTTCTCCTTTGTGCTTGGAGGGGAGGGTGAAGCAGAGGTGTTGTGATCTGCAAATACACCGCTAGATGCCACTAAATCCTACACACTGAACCTTTTTTTTTGAAGTTATTTTTTTGGCCTTTATTGGATAGGGACAGCCTAAGATAGACAGGAAAGGGGGCAGAGAGAGGTGGGATGACACGCAGCAAAGGGCCGCAGGTCAAATTCGAACCCTGGGCCGCTGCAGCAACTCTGTACATGGGTCGCGAGCTCTACTGACTGAGCTAACTACACTGAACCTTTAACTAAGATGTAGACTACAAAATTACACTTGTGCCATATTAACAGACAATGTGTATTATGCATGGAAGAGGAGGAAGAAAGAAACCATATTATGGATCTCAGGTCCACAGTAGATTAATGCCCTCAGGTTTTTACACTAATAGTTCTGAACTGGAGCTAAAAGGCAGTCAGAAAGATCTTGTGTCTGACCCAGACTCCTGGGCAAGATAAAGGTGTCCGACTGACTAAGGGCAAACACTGCTGGGGAACTGAACAAGTGGAGACAGCCTTATCT